TCAGGGCCCTGACTGTTAGTGTGACTTCCATTGGTCCCTGCCCTCTGCAAGCCTCTGCTGCCTGTCCCTGAGTGGTTCTGCATCTCCTCCTTCATGGAGCTGCGTGAGGAATAAATGGTTTGGGCACATCGGACCCATGCACGCTGACACTTGCTAAGAGCGTTCTATTTACATGAGCCACCCAGAATCAAGCTCCTCTCCAGGGCTCCCGGCACCCTCCCCACACTGGCACCAGCACAGCACTGCCCTTGTGCCCTACCCCTGACCCACCCCCAACCGTGCCAGTGCTTTCATTCATCTTGAAATCCAACACCTGAATCCTAGCAGCTGCAGAGCCCACCATGACTCCTGCTTGAAGCTCCTCTGCTCCAAACACCTCAGCTCACACCCCCTGCCCCCTCTCAGAAACCCTTCTCTGCTCAATGATCTGTCCCTTCACTCCCACCCGAGTCAGCCCAGGCCTAGAGAGAAATGGGAGTCACAGAGGGCATAGCTAGGACCAGACCCTGGCTTAGCCCAGGAGAGACGTGCACAGCTAACACGCAGCAACGCTCTCTGAGCAGACGTGGGGGTACTGCACTCAGCCAGCCCCAGAGCCCGGAACTGAGCAGGTGCTCGGAAATCAGGGTAAATCCTACATGTGTTTATTTATCATATATACTTTCTAGAGAAATGTTTGCAATAGGTCATGCGCACTTGCTGGAGACACAGAGACAGAGGCGAGGAATCACACCCCAGGTGGGGATGGGTGGAGAATGACCACACCACAATTCCTTCTCCATTCTCCTCTCAGGATTTTGGGCATGCACACACACACACACACACCCAGTGTGAGTTTGAAGCCTCCAGGTCTGGGACTCAAACTGCGTCGACCATGTTGGAGTCCAGTGACATAGCCATTATGCCATCTGTTGGCCCCAGTCCATACATTTACAAATTGTATAAATTCACAATTGCATTTATTTAAATTATGGTGAAATACACATAACATACAATTTACCATCGTAGTCACTCTGTGTGCAGTTCAGTGGTGCTAAGTACATTCCCATTGTGCTGTAACCGTCACTACCATCCACCTCTGGAACTCTATCATAAAACTGAAACTCCACCCACTAACCCACTCCCCGTTCTCCTTCCCCTCAGCCCCTGGGAACCTGTATGCCTACATCTTTTATAAAATCTCAACAAATACACAAAACCATTTACAAAGGCAATTGCCAAACCTCTTTCCACCAATATTTTTTAAAAGAATTATTTTATTTAACTTTATTTTATTTTAATTTGACCAGAGAGGGACAGAGTGAGAGAGAGAGAGAGAAAGCAAGCCACCAAGTCCGGTACTCGAACCGCGGTCGGCCCTGTGGGAGTCCAGCACCCTTAACAACTGTGCCACCTGCTGACCCCATTTTTTCTTTTTTTTTTTTAAGAATTATTTTATTTAACTTTATTTTATTTTAATTTGACCAGAGAGGGACAGAGTGAGAGAGAGAGAGAGAAAGGGGGAGGGGAGTGAGAAAGCAAGCTGCCAGGTCCAGGACTTGAATTGCAGTTGGCCATGTGGAGCCATGCCACCTGCTGGCCCCCATCCATAAAATTTAAATCACCAGACTTCATAGGCTTCCAGTTACCAGGTGTGGTGCTTCTTGTTAATCCCCTTGGTCCACCCACCACTGTGAAATTCTCCTTTTGTGGGAGTAGTTAGACAGTATACATGCTCACTGTGTCTTTAAAAGTCATATTTTTATTTTTATATACTTCATAAAGAATTGGATGTAAAAGAAAAATAAATTTCAACATGATATCAAAGTGACATCGCAACTATTCCATATGAATAAAAAGATCGATTATTTAAATGCCTTCCTCCTAAGACATAGAATAAATGAAAGTGAATTAAATAGCCCAGCCCCACCCCATGAACGAATGAAAAGCAGATTATGTCCCTCAAGACGGAATTTCTCAAAGCTCATCCTAGACTGCAAACAATCCAGGCCCTATGGAAAACAGAGTCATGCAAATTGATTTGGACCGTGGAAACCTCAAAAATAGAAATCGCTTGCCTAACGTAGGTGACCTGCTACCAGAGGTGAGACAGGGGGTGTGGGAAGAGCTCCTACACCCGAGGTGGGACCCGGACTACGAGGCAGGGAAATGTGCTGGACGTTGTAGACGCCCGTGGACTCTGTGGCCACTTCACACGCACGGCAGCGTGCATCTCCTGCTGGAGGCCGGCACGCGTGTTGACACCGGCGGAAAATGTACACAGATGAAAAGATACCCCAGGTCTGCGTGGCTGCCATGTAGGCGTGTGTGCAGTACCACCTTAGCCAAGTAGGTAATTCAATGTGAATATGCAAACTGCATGTTTCTGCTCATGAGATACCAGTAATCTACGGCATGGTCATGGTTTAGATTTGGGTCATTTCTTTTTTTCAGAGAGAGATTTTTGCTATAGCGCATGTGTGCTCGCCAGAAAGACAGAAAGCGAGAAATCACCCCCCAAGGGGGATGGCCACATTGCAATCCCTTCTCCTCCGTTCTCCTCTTGGGATTTTGGGCACATGTGAACATCCACCCAACATGAGTTTCAAGCTGCCAGGTCTGGGACTTGAACCACAGTTGACTATGTGGAAGTCCAGTGACATAGCTATTACACCATCTACAGTCCCAAGATTTGGGTCACTTCTTATGCAGTGACATAAATATCCAATTATTTCTCCTCCTCCTCCTCCTCTTTGTTCTTTTTCTTCTTTTATTGTTTAAGATTTTTGCCATAGAGTGCATGTGCTCACTGGAGGAAAGTGAGAAATCATCCCTGAGAGGAGATGGCTACTTGCAGTTCCTTCTCTTCCATTCTCCTCTTGGGATCTTGGGCACACATGCACGTGTGCCCAGTGTGTTTTTCAAGTGTCCAGGACCAGGACTCAGTCATGTAGTCAGCCATGTGGGATCCAGCACCTTAACACCACCTGCTGGCCACTTTTTTTTTTTCTTTTTTTTTTGAGAGGTTTTTGCTATAGGGCACATGTGCTCGCCAGAAAGAGATAGAGAGAGACAGAAAGTGAGAAATCACCCCTAGGGGGATGGCCACGCCACAATCTCTTCTCCTCCATTCTCTTCTCGGGATCTTGGGCATGCACGCACACGAGCCCAGCATGAATTTAAGCCACCGGGTCTGGGACTCAAACTGCGGTCTACTACATGAGAGTCCAGCAACATGGCCATTATGCCAACTGCTGGTCTCCATATTCTTTTCCTTAAACCAGGAAAGAATCAAAATGAAATGATGGTATAACTCGCTTTTCATCTCAGCCTAATAATCCCTCATTGTCACTCTCTTTTGTTGCGCTCCTTTAAATGTCCCTCTGTCGTAACTCTTATATTGGACCCTGCAGATGCAAAGCCACAGGAAGAGAGTTGTCTCTTCTAGACCACAGCAAAAGGGGTCCTCGGGAGCACTTGGGTTAGGGGTTGTCCAATCTGTATCTAGATCCCCCACCACCTCTGCTCCCCACATGGCCACGGCAGGTTCTGTGACATCCCAGAGCCCGCTCTCATTTTTGTTACAAAGTGACAGTGACAGAGCTTTCAGGATTAGATGGAGTGCCGGACACCACTCACCTCCCCCAGCCCTCCGCTTCTCCCAGACTTCTTGGCTTAAGCCTGAGGGCGCTAACAGCTCTCCTCATAACAACCCAGTTGAATGGTAAACAGCACAGAGGTCAGCAAAATTTTTTTGCAAAGAGCCAAATAGTGAATATTCTTGGCTTTGAGGGGCCTTTGTAGCCCTGTTCAGCACTGCTATTATGATAAGAGCAGTCACATACAGCATGTAAACAAATAGGTGTGGCTGTATTTCAATCAAACTTTATTTACAAAGCAGACGGTGGGCCGGATTTGGCCCATGGGCCATAGTATGCCAACTCCTATATAAAGAGAAGGATCTTAAATAATCCTTATTTGCAAAGGTTGGTATATTTGCCACGTGTGACCTCTTTTCCTGGAAACAGAAGCACTCTCTTGTCAAATATCCATAGAATATTTATAAAAATTGAATGCGTATTAGGCTATCCCCTCAAAAAAGACAGTGTTCAGTAATTTCCATTAAAAAAATAGAACAGGGCCAGTTCCATAGCCTAATGGTTAAAGGGAGCCAGATCCTATCCAACCAGAGTTCAAATCCTGACCTCTCTGGGTATTTGTACATGTGTGCCTAGGGTCTCAACAGATGGGGAAATGGAGGAGAAGGGATTGTGGTATGACTACACTCCACTGACAAGTGTTTTCTCTCCCTCCCTCTCTCTGACTCTGGTGAGCACACACACCCTCTGGCTATTGAAAAGCCAAGTGCAGGGGGCCAGCAGGTGGCATAGTATTTAAGGTGTTGGACTTCCACATGGCAGACCACGGTTCGAGTCCTGAACCCTGAGGCTTGAAAATCACTTTAGGCACGTGTGCCTGCATACCCAAAATGTTAAGAGAATGGAGGAGAAGGGATTACATCCCCACTAGGGAGTGATTTCTTGCTTTCCTTCTTTCTGTCTCTCAGCAAGCACAAGCACCCTATGGCAAAAACCTAAAAAAAAACAAACAAACAAAAAAAAAACAAGTAGAAGGCCAGCCAGTGACATGGTGGTTCAGGCAGCTGGATTCTACATGGCCAACTGTGCTGTTCAAGTCCCAGACATGACAGCTTGAAAAACATGTGAAGTGCATGTATGTGCGTGCCCCAAAAAATTCTGAGAGGAGAATGGAGGAGAAGGAATTGCAGTGCGGCCTTCCCCCCTGGGATACTTTCTCACTTTTCTCTCCCTTTTCTCTCTGTGTCTGGTGAGCACACACATGTTATAGCAAAATAAAGTAAAATAAAATAAAATGAAGGGATGAATGCTGATTAACATGTGAGAAAATTAGAGACTCGGTGAAAGCAAAGAGGTAAATTGCACTAAGGAACCTGAGCGCTGGCCCAGGAGGTCATTCGCCTCTTTCTTTTTAAATTTTAGGTATGAAATAATGTACTCGTGCTGGAGGTCCGACCCCCTGGACCGACCCACCTTTTCTGTGTTGAGGCTGCAGCTAGAAAAGCTCTTAGAAAGTCTGCCTGCTGTTCAAGACAAAGCGGATGTCATTTACATCAACACGCAGTTGCTGGAGGACTGCGAGGGCCTGGCCGAGGGCCCTGCCCTTGCGCGTTTGGACATGAACATCGATCCAGACTCTATAATTGCTTCTTGCACGCCCGGCGCTGCCATCAGCGTGGTCACGGCAGAAGTGCACGAGAACAGGCCTCACGAAGAGAGGTACATCCTGAACGGAGGCAGCGAGGAGTGGGACGATCTGGCTTCTGCCCCGTCCGCCGCGGTCACAGCTGGAAATGGTGTTCTACTGGAGGACAGACTTGGTAGGAATGGGGTGTCCTGGTCCCATGCTAGCACCCTACCCTTGGAGAGCCCATCGCAGGACGAACTGTTGTTTGCCGACGACATCTCAGAAGACTCTGAAGTTCTGATGTGAGGAACGCAGAGAGGGGACATTCCAAAACCAAGTGCTAGGTCGTTGGGAAAGCCATGACATATTTTTGTATGTTTTTCTATGTAAAAGTGGGTCGTGACTTTTCCGACGACCCAATGAATTCTCCTGCTTTAGGAGAACCCAATTCAGCCTGTGTTTCTGGTATTTGTTTTCCTCACCAAGTAAACTCCATGAACCCAAAGCACCAGGTGAATGTTGTCAAGTAAGTCATCATTAAAATTGCATAATATATATTTATTTAAGGAGGAAAATATATGTGTATATGGTGGAAAGAGACAGAATATTATATTTTAATAAAAGATGACTTATTTTCATGTCACTGATCTTGCACATCTTAGAATTTAAGCTTTAGTGGTTTCTGAAATTAACGTTTGTACAGAGTCACAGTTGTTTTTTAAAGTTCTCTTCTTTTTTGTGACTATTAAATGTAAAAAGATTTGTAGAATGAAATGCTGCCTTTGACTTCACTTCTGATCTGCCTGCAAAATCTGACATTCCTGCGTGAGTCTTGTATGTGATAGAATGATTCATTCGATATTTAAAGTTTTATAACTGCTTCATTTTCTGACATGACTTCCTAATAAAATACGAATGAGGAAGAATGTGTTGATTTACTTGAGACTCCGAAAGACAAGGTCACCCGCAGCCTCTGTGTCTTCATAAAGAGATCCCCTTAAAGCCCGCCCTCAGTGCAATTGCTCTGACCATTTTTGGTGTTACTTAATTTTTTTAAAAAACTATCTTTTGCTTTATTGCACAGTTTACATATGACGGCCCCAAACCCAACAGTTGCTTTTCCTCTTCTGACTTGGTTCTTCTTTCAGGATCTGTGTCAGCAGAGACCGTGTCTCTCAGCAGCATATGCAGTGATTCTCATCAGGTACACACGGCCTCTCAGATTCCAGCTCTTCAGCCCTTCCATGTGGGCCTTCCCATGGACAGCACCTATATCTGTTTGTGCTGGGGCTCTGCTCTGGCCATGTCACCCTGAGGTGTCCTCAGGCCAGGAATGTTAGACAGGCTTCCGATGATGTCCACCTCTGAATAAATCTGCTTGGGGCCCCAGGCTAAGGGTTGGAAAGCAAGCTGTGTCTGGGTTGTGTTACAAAGAATTCTGTGATCCATTAGCAATGTCTGCCATGGTAATCGACATATCTAGAAGGAGTGAACTGGAGGAAGGCACTGCATGCTAGGCTCAAGGAGAAAAAGCAGACGTTCCATTTTTGCCTGAGGTGGTGGTTCTACCACCCAGGCTGAGGTGACAGTCTGTAGGCCATAAGCTGTGAGTGGCTTCCCTAGGGCCTAGACAGAATAGTAGAAGTCTCAAGCTAGAGGGAGCTTAGAAGAGTGGCCTGTGCTGGGTCCGGGGATTGGGGGGGTGCCGTGAGGGGGGTCTGCACATTGAAGGTCACATCTTGCTGGCCTGGTAGAGTTGTTACAAGGATTAAATGAGTACTGGTGCGGCATACAGTCAATGCTATGTATTGGGTTGTCGGAAAAGTCATGACATTATTTTTCTTTGCAAAAATGTGTCAAGACGTTTCCGATAACCCGATACATGTTTATTAAATAAAAGGTCAGGGTTGGGGGGACAAATGGCTGAGAGGCTCTGGAGTTGATCCCCAGCTCCTATGTTTCGAACCAGTCAGAGTTAGGTATTCTAAATCCAGGTCCACCACTCTCTAGATGTGAGCCATCAACAGTCTTTATTTATTTTTTTTAGAAATGGAGAGATTTATTTTAAAAAAAAAAAAAAAGTTCCCGTGAATATGCCCTGCTTCAGCTTAGGAGCTGTATCTAGCCCAAATGCCTGTTACCACCAGTATCTGCAACGCTTGATCCTGGATGTTTGGAAATCAAAATCCTTCTAGCTGATCCTAAAGCAAGAGGCGGTTAAATTATACCTAATACACGATGTTAAGACAAGAAAGTGCTCTTTCTGTGCAGAGAGCAGGCCTGCACGGCTTGACGTGCCTAAAAACCGCCGGACCTGCTGTGTGACAAGCACCGACCTCATAAAGTGACATAGTAGAAAAGGGCAGGGTTCTCTGTGTGCTCAGGGACAGCGGCGTTATGACAGGAAGCAGAGTGGCGGTGGTGGACAGACTGAGCCTATTTTCCGGAAAAAGGCAAAAACTACAAAGGAGATTGTGCTGAGGTTTGCATGTGCTGAGCCTGCCACCGATCTAGGAGAACGCTGGCTACTAGGAGATGCGAGCATCGTGAACTGGGAGGAGATAAGAGAAGGGGTCAAGGGATCCAGTGCTAAGTCTCGTCCAGTGCCTTAACCACCATGCTACCTGCTGGCCCCGTGGTCCTCGGGATCTTGGGCACGCACGCACACGTGCCCGGCATGAGTTTTAAGCCACCGGGTCCAGGACGCGAACTGCAGTCGACTACGTGGGAGTCCAGAGACATAGCCATTACGCTAACTGCTGGTTCCCAAGTTTAATATAAATTTATTTTAAGTGTCTAATATGCTTATTTTACACACACACACACACACATATATATACTTAGTGAGACAGAGAAAGTAGAGAGAGGTAAAAGCACTTTGACAGGGTCTTGCCATACCTGGGTCTGCTGCTCTAGCCTCTCAGTCAGCAGTGATTACAGGTGTGTGCCACTTTGTCCAGCCTGTTTAGGTTGGTCCAGGAACCGAACCCAGGCTTCCCATGGCCTAGCTTTGGTCTAACTTGTCTCACTGCAGCTGTGCTTGAACATTTTACTTCTAACTATATTATATAATGTAGACATATATAGTAGTTTATCAAACACCCACTGCCTTTCAAATCCTGTCCAGTTTTGTCAGTACTTTTTTTTTTGGAGAGATTTTCACTGTAGGGCGCGTGCGCTCGCCAGACAGACAGAGAGAGACAGAGACAGAAAGCGAGAAATCACCCCCCAGGGGGGATGGTCACGCCGCAATCCCTTCTCCTCCATTCTCCTCTCGGGATCTTGGGCACGCACGCACACGCGCCCGGCGTGAGTTTTAAGCCACCGGGTCCGGGACACGAACCACGGTCGACTACGTGGGAGTCCAGCGACATAGCCATTACGCTAACTGCTGGTTCCCTCCAGTTTTGTCAGTACTTTTCAGGTAACCTTAGAATGGCCGGGAACCTGGGCCAACCCTGTCACAGGAGAGCACAGAGAGCTGATCAAGCTATGGCTCCCAAATTTTCCTGAGACATCAACAAACATAGCAGAGAAATTCACTCCACAGCGATGCACCAGGGCACTGGTTAAAAGTGGTGAGATAGAGGGGACACGCAGTTGGTGTAATGGCTATGTTGCTGGACTCCCATGTAGTCGACTGCAGTTCGAGTCCTGGACGTGGTGGCTTAAACTCACACCAGTCGTGTGTGCGTGTGAGCCCAAGATCCCGAGAGAAGAATGGAGGAGAAGGGATTTACGGCCATCCCTCTTCTTGCTTTCTATCTCTCTGTCTCTCTCTTTCTTTGTGGTAAGTGCATGAGCCCTATAGCAAAAACTTCAAAAAAAAAAAAAAAAAAAACAGTGGTGTGATGACAAAGAATGAAGCCAACCACCCTTGCTCAGTCCACTGAAACCTCGCTGAGAACTTTGGGACTACTTAGGGCGCTGGACACTAGCCACCAGGTCTGGGATTTGGGACTACAGTGCCCTTCTCAACCACATTCAAATGTTTGAAAGTTTGGAAAGAACTAACTTTCAGATGATCCAGTCATTGCCGAACTCCTGTACTATTTTCTGAGCATAAACTTTCAAGTACCCTTTCAAATTCTCTTTTGTATAAACTCAAATCACTTTTTTGTAAATGGATCTTATAAGGAAAAAGTGGGAGACAGAAACAAGTCAGGCCATTGTTTTCAGCCATGCTGGGATCAGGACCGAGAGGTCAAAAGGACAAGGAAATAAACAAATAAACCGGAAATACTTGTGATCTACAGGCTGAGGCTAGCTCTGCCTTTTCTGAGGGTTTGTGTTTTTTGTTTTTGTTTTGTTTTTTTCTTTTGCTTACTTTTCTTGTGGAAAGGATAATTGAGAATCAGGGCAACTCTCATTCCGCCAGGTCTCCTTGGGTAATCTTGGGCAAGCCGCTACCTTTTCTTGAGCCCTGGTTTTCCCAAGTGCACAGTAAAGACACCAACACTTGCTCCTGCAACACTGTGTGTAAAAAGAGGATGCTGGACAAAAATTGGCAACTGAAAGTAAACATTAGAAGGAGAAAGAATTGTACTGACCTCACAAAGCCAGCATCAGTAAGGATCAGACCCATCAGCTAAACCTTTTATACTAGTATACTAGTATAAAAGACTACATTTAGGTTTGGGGAGAGTTTGCATTGGACAAAGATAATCAAGGAGGGGTGTATAAACTTATTTTATTTAGATTTATTTATTTATTTGACCAGAGAGGGACATAACCAGAGAGTTAGAGAGGAAAGTGAGAAAGCTAGCCACCAGGTCTGGGATTTGAACTGTGGTTGGCCATATGGGAGTCCAGCACCCCTAGCCATCATGCCACCTGCCAGCCTCTGTCTTATAGATTCCAAAGAAGAGCCAGAATTGGTGAAAGTCCAAGCAGGCATCCAAAGCAACTTATTGGCAGGGATGGCAGTCCATATGGCAGGATGCGTGATCATCTTAAGGGGGCCGGTAAGCCTGGAATTATCTTAAAGAATGTCTTAGGGCCAGCAGGTGGTATGGCGGTAAAAGGTGCTAGATTTCTACATGGCCAACTGTAGTTCGAGTCCTGGACCTGGTGAGTTGCTTTCTCCCTTTCTCTTTCTCTCTCTCTCTCTAGTCAAACTAAAAAATAATAACAATGGAATTAAATAAATAATTCTTTAAAAAAGAATGTCTGACAACCACGTAATCATTAAGAGTAACCATAACCAGTAAGTAGGCTGGTCAGCCTCCCTGTCTTCCTCTTAGTTCTCTAGCTCTTATTATTTTGTTTTATATAGCAATCTCTTTCTAGATAAACTTCACTATCATGGGAAGGAGGCAATGTCTTTTTTTTCCCCCCAAAGAATTATTGATTTAGTTTATTATTTATTAGTATTATTATTAATTTGATACAAGATTTGATGCATTCACCAGAGAGAGAGGGAAAGTGAGAAAGCAAGCCACCAGGTCCAGGACTCAACTGTGGTCAGCCATGTGGGAGCCCAGAACCTTAACCATCATGCCACCTGCTGACTCCAAGGCAAAGTCTTTAAAAAGAACTTTATACTAGCTAGAGGCTTTCCCGAAATATAGGTATCATTCTTTATGATGTGCAAACCACTACCATTTGTTGCTTCAGACATACTTTCCCTGATGGTGACAACTCCCTCCAAAATAACACGCTCACTAAAAAATGACAGAGAATTCCACCGCAGCCAGTGATGCACACAGTGGAGGCAGTGCGGAATGAAGAACGGCCTACATTCCACACCTCTAATGTGCTGGGACTCGGGAGTACTGTTCCCTTCCTTCCCAGACCTCCCAGTCCTGGGGTGAGACTGGTAGGAGGGGAATTACATGAGCCCAAGTGTTCTCTCCCCCTTACGTTGCTAGAGCAAGCAGTGGGTGGACTTATCAATGTGATGTGGGGTCACTCGGGGGTCAAAGTG